GGGGGGGGGGGGGGGGGGTGCTCTGTGCTTCTTTTTTTTTTTTTTCTAGTGAAAGGCCATTTCACTGCCTGCTGTTACCATAACGACGGGCTACAGAGGACAGGGGGGTGGAGGGGTGCGTCACAAAGTTTGTCTTTTGGCTGCAAGACACCAAGCACTGGGGCTGCTATGGGACAACGATTAACAAAAGTCCAAACTGGAGGAAGAAAGGAAAAGGGGGTCCATAGTGGAAGCCGTTCCCCCACAGATGACCTCATAACTGTTTGTTGTCCTTTTTTTGTCACAGATTGTAAAAGGGCATTTTGTGTTGTTTTTTCCATCAAGAAAACTGCCAACCAAAGACTGCAGGCCCTTCGCTACTCATTCAGGTTGATCATTTAGGCTTTGAAATACCATAAAGTAAAGCAGGGAGACACATCAAATCAATGTAATACTGATGCTGTAATATGAAACCAATATTTTCGTTATTAAAATTTTAAGACATGTTTTTCAGGTCAGCTTAGGGATGCAGTTTTCTGAATGTATTTCAATGTTGCAACTGAGTGCCAAATAAATCCTCCTCCTTCTCCACACACACCGACTCCAAAAACACACTAACATCATCGATATATTATCAATATATTATGGTGAAGTTACACGCTGACCAGTGTTGTTACTGCTGAGGGTTACAAAGTAGGAATATGTTGCTGCAGGACATGACAACAACATGGTAGCCACAAAGCTGGAGTGCAAGTGCCATCCAGGTCTCAGTTACAATGTAACCACCAACAGCTGAGCTCAGTTGTCCGCATCAAAAAAAAGTGTCAAAACACCGCAGTTTGCATCGGCGCGGACTGAAAATGACAGCGGCGTTTTTTCCACTTGAAGGGAGAAAAACTGCGGCGTATCCACACACACACACACACACAGAGAGAGACACACACACCGGTCCGCATTGGAGCCGTACACAATCTGACTGGTCAATTTTTACAAGTCATCATCTGCCCGGCAGGAGAAAACTAGGCCTGTAGCTATATTGAGCACCACCCTGCAGCCCTATTTCAGATTCCATTTAAATGCGACATGTGCCGTGTGTGTGCGGACCTACAAGGGCGAGGAGCTGCGCAAAAAGAAATTAGCTAAAATTCATTTTTATTTATTTTTTTGCTGCTGTGTGCTTACCTGCAGATGTTCCTGAAATCGTATCGGCAGTATCTGAGCCATTTCGGAAGGATTTCTCTTTCTGAAGAATCCGTGAGGAAGGAAAGGGGAAGGGGACAGCAGGAGTAATAGGGGTGATCTTGTTCTTTTTGTGCCCTAAACGTCCCCAAAAGTCAAATATGATGGGCAGTAGTAGGTAGTCTGGGTGGCTTGCGTTGGTATCACACGAATCCAGTGACTGCTCCCATTCAGTAGCCCCCCTACACCAGTCCTGAGTCAAAAACTCCGCACCTCCGCTAAGAAAACTAGTCCACCTCAACTACTACTGAGCCCCGTGCGCGAACCAGTTCCTCCGCGAGCCATGTAAGGATACGGGGCAGTCCTAAAAAATGATAAGTGATGACTTCGTGTAAACAGCCCGTGGCGTGGATTTATTTATTTATTCTAAAAGCTGTCAATGCAAGCGGTCGGATGTGCAGTTTGTACCCCTCCGCCGCAGCCCCTTCCCCCTTCCTTTCCACCAACTTCGAAATCAGGGCTCGTGACAAACGCCCCACCTTTGCATGATTTCTACAAAATCACACACACACACACACACACACACGTTCATCTTTCCAAAAAGTGTTTTTGTATGAATGACGCAGAGCTCTGTACCGGGCAGGACTGCTGACGTTTAAAAGTGTTTTTATAAGGAACTGCATCTTTTTTATTTATACAAGATCTCATAGCCTATATGACCTTCTGCTATCATCATCATCATCATCATCATTTTAATTGTGCCTGGTGAGCAGCAGGTTGTGCACAAAAGATATACCGTTATATATAATATAATATAAGTTGTTTCTGTCTTGTGTTGCACTTAATTTGTTATTATGAAGAAAGCCTTAAACAAAGATAAATGTGAGGATATGACACTTATTTTTGCACATAAAAAAATAGTTTTCTCAGTCTGGGGTCTGGGTACCACCAGGGGTCTTTGAGGGGTTTCCAGGGGGTTCCCAGAAAAATAGACATAAATTTAATTTAATTATTATTTTACTGACTAGACATTAGCCCAATGACATAATGTGTATAAATGACTCTTCACTAGTAATCTGCTAATCTACAGTATAGACAGTTATAATTAAATCTTATCAGATGGGGACTCTGGAGGCTACATCTTATTAAATACAGCCTGGTAGGTATATATTTTGGGGTCCTTGACACCAAAAAGGTTGAGAACCACTGCCTTAGACTATAAGTTGCCGCGGGTTGGTCAGAAAAATACTTCCTTCCTAAAATCAAATATCTATACACTACTGAGTCAGTATTATACACAGGATGTGTTCAACGCAGACATCATTTGAAATCAAAAAGCTACTGTTTCAAAGGATCTGATTATACAGTTTTAACTTCCTTAGTAATAAATGTGATTAATATTTGCATGGAAGGGCAGAATTAGGTGCTGTAGCCTATAGGCATTTATCACTTCTGGAAAGAGCTAGTTGTTCCAGTCAATACACAGAAAACCCGTAACATGTTAAGAATAAACCTCATTGTATTAAGATTTAAATCTTTAACATTTTAAGAGACTGGCAATGTAATTAAAATATCCAGCCAGAGATCCTTGTTACATGCCATTCCCCATCTCACTCTCCCCTCATTTCCTGCCGTCTCTCTACTCACAATACCTAATAAAGATAAAAAATGCACAAAAACCATGAAATAAAATCTATAACTCAAAATGTGATTGAGTCTCAGTGAACTTATAAAAAAGATGACATTGTTACTTTAAAGTGTGAGTTTGTGAGCTGCTGTACTGTATGCATAATCACACTTTGTTGTTGGTATCAGCAGAGCTACAAGATGCCTTACACCCACCTGCCAAATTACACTGGCTCCAGGAAGTTATTTAGCACTCATTTACACCACCTCCCTATATGCAAATACAGCCGCTACAGCTGAAGGAGCCTTTGCATTTTCAGCACGTATTGAAATCAACAGTGCAAAATGATCAGATAGCTTGAAACTGCGTTACTGCTGTAAAACATAAGTCAGTTCTAAAAATCTAAATGATATAAAACAATCTATATTTCTGGTATGCTAAGCTGAAGAAGCACAATGCTTACTCTCTAAGTAATTTTCAAGGTTGGATTAAATCCAGGCTTTACAGCGCATTTTAAAGGCAGTTATTTCAAGTTAATAAATTCTGTTTCAGTTAGATTTAACTCTGATATGTGTATTATGTTGATTTTTACACTCATGCACCTATGATTCTGCCATGTAGTTTGCTTGACAAGTCCAGTATTTATGGTTTGGCCACAGAGAAGGTGGTTTCACTCTGACAGGAAGCAGGTGTAACCAGCAGTGTCTGGTCAGTGGCCACTGGAAGGAAGTGGCACACACACACACACTCACCCAAACATAGCTGGTGTCTCAGTTAAAGCCACAAACCCTCAGCTCACCACAGGGATGAGGATCTATCACAACTCAAGGACATCATCAGCCTTTTGTAATGTACTAAATCTTCTAAATGACCCACCCAAACCACAGAAACCCAGAATAAAGACCGTGATCCAGGTTAACTTATAGTTACTGGTCAGCCACAGTAAATATAGGAAAACTGTGCTAAAAGGAATAAAATAACAACTATATAAAGCAGATGCATTTTGACTTTGGGTCTGTATTGCACAATATCTACAATATCACACTGAAAAGACACAAACCATCAAACTAAACTAGGGAAAAGATATCAAATCTGTACTAAAATAAACATTACTGATTCATGGAGACATTTATCTCAACGGTTCATCACATACGACCATAACAGCGGAAATGAGCAGGAGGGGAAAAATTGTCAAAATTTTAGCTGCATGTTCAGAGGTTCTGATGATGTAAAACAGCATAAATATATACGTTTGTATGTTTAAAAGTTAGTGAAATACAGTGGTCTGACAGCATAGTCATAATTTTGAGAAACATCAAGACTGTTACAGCAATACAGTGACACGTTTTCCTTTTGACTAGAGAACAGTTAACCTTGTGCAATTATTGCTAAAACGATGACATGGCACAAAAAAGGAAAATCAATTACGATCTCTGCTTATCTTTGAGTTTTGGGGTTAAAGTGTTCTTGGACCAACCGTTGCTTTCATTTACATAATCTCTGCTAAGTTTTCAGTGCATCAACGTTTGCATTGTCTATTTCAATCTGTACTTTAGCTGTATAGCTGATTTCATAGAGTTGTAATTAGATGACACACAGAAGACCTACAATCTTTTCCAAGTGGGAAACTTTCAAACTGTGCAATTATCCTCGTATAACCCATATGAAGCTCTTAGTAGTGTAGTTTTAAGGGCGTACAGGGTGGGTTAAATACGCTGTGTGCTTGGCTTGGCTCTTGCTGTCTATCAGAAACAGCTGGTTATTCTTGTGATGGGAAATCATCTCGTCTAGGGTGCCGAACATCTGAGGGAGAGACAGAGAGAGAGATAAAGGGAGAAAGAGACCCCCAGAGAGAAGAATATAAGGGAGAAAAGGACAGAGGAGAGATAAGGAGAAAGGAGAAAGAGAGAGATAAAGGGAGAAAGAGACAGAGAGAGATAAAGGGAGAAAGAGACAGAGAGAGATAAAGGGAGAGAGGTAATTAAATAAAAAACACTTGAAATTCTTCCAGAATCCTCATCTCTTTGTCTTCTCCTTCCTGTCTTGCATGCTCTCCTCTCGTAAAAAACTTCTCTTATTCGCCCTCACCTCTTCATTCTTCTTGCCCTCTTTTCCCAGGGCGTAACCTCGTGTCTCCTCCAGGAAGCGGATGGGAATGTTGTACACCTTCTGCTGGTAGAGCACGGCGAGGGTGTACGGCTGCCGGGTGCTCTGGGCTGAGCTGTGTCGGATGAGAAAGGCACCATCCTACAATCAGAAAAAAGAGAGGAACAAACAGAAAGATCTGAGCCATACTGACACAAATAACAGAAAATAAAAAGGAATTAAGTTTGAGAAGCTTTGGTTGGAGAATGAGGCCCAAAAGAGAGCAGGGAAGTAAAAATAAAGGTGAATTGAGGATATAAGACTGTAGGGCTACATATTATGTAGAGTAAGTGGTGGAAATGGAAGTCCTAAAGGTGTCTGACTCAGGTTTGGTTTTTATTTGAGTGCAAAAGCATGCACATAAACTCTCAGCAAATTTCCATTGTCTGTGCACCCTTGCCTCGAGCCCTTGTGTTTGCTTGGTTGAAAATAAAAACTAATTGTGGTTGAAATGACTCAGCCATCATTATCTGATTATTATACTGTTTGGTTTACCTTGTTGACCTTCAGTAAGAGATCCTCAGCTGTCTTCCTATTGCAATCTCCAGCAAACCACTGTTTGTCCTGTAATATGACAGAAATATATCAATAAATCATCAGTAAAGTCCTCTTTAACTTGTGTTAAAATTTTCATGCAGATTGATATCATACCTCATTCCCAGATTGTTTAGTTGCCCTCATACCACCAAGGGAGGCTTAAAACCGATAGAAAACATGTTATATGTCTCACACGGGTTTAGGAAATCTGCATTTGGCAACATCCAGGTGGTTAAAAAAAGAAATGTAAAGTATGATCCATGTAATGTTTGGATTATATTAAATGAAAAATCAAAGCAGACCCCAAATGATCACAGTCATCCCTCAGGATTTAAAACCTCTCTTTCTGAAAAATGTGAGCTTACCCACAGGCTTAGTGGCTACCATAGGAGGATTTGGAGGGCTGGAATAAAGACAGGAGGCTAAAGTTAAACACTGAATTTAATTCTAATATATGCATAAACTTGTAGATGGGGTTAACTGCAAAACAAACTGGAAATTAAGGTAAATCTTTGCAGTTTTACTTTGTAACAAACCTCTCTACCCTCTCTGTATTCTTCACTTCTTACCTGGGTTTGGATTCCTTCAGGTTTGGGGGGGGCTTAACACTGGGAGTTGGTACAGGGAGTTTGGTTGGAAATGTGGCACGTCTTGCTTCAAACGAAGGAGCTATAGAGACAACATATACTTAACATAATTATGGTCAAAATAATTTATTTTCGATATGGTTTGTACTCATATTTGATCAGTTTTTATGGATAAAGACAATGTGGTCTTTACCTGCTTTTACCTCATTCAAGGAAGGCAAGAGTGAATTCTGAAAGGGAGTAAATAAAAGTTTCTGAGCTTAATTTCCTACATAGGAAATGGAAATACGGAGTAAGAATGAAAACTTTCATTTCTAATTCACTATCTTGACAGTCTTACTTAAAATGAGAATAGATCTTAGCAACAGGAAATGATAAGACCGAGCACTGAGATGAAAAGACACACTCACAGACTTAGCTCTGGGAACTGGAGGTTTCATCCTGCACACAGACACTCATTTTCATTACATGTTTATTACCAGGAATTCACTGTAAACTGCCACTACTATATCTGTCACATTTGCATTTTGCTGCAAAAACACAGCAGCCTCATTGTCTGATGTGACGTTGAGTAAAACACATTATATCACAGGTTACTTCAGGTTAGTTCATATCACCGTGCTTTGGTTAGGTAGGTTGAAGTGAACTTACATGGGTTTGGGAGAAGGTACAGTCACTGTTTTGGGAGGCATTCTCGTTGGTGCACGAGGGGCAGGAGGAGGGCAGGCTGAGGAAGAGAGGAAATTAAACATTTCTTCTGGAAATGAAATCTGGCTGCCTTTCACACATATTGTAGTTGTGAAAAATGCAGATGTCTGATCATCACAGTTCAATCTCAGGGCTCGTACTTGTGAAGTGACGCAACCTACCAGCTGTGGGCTCTAAATACAGGTCGTCATTATCTTCCTGAAACACAAAAAAACAAATATTGTCATACATTGATAAGACAGGAAAATATTTTATCAATACACACAGTGAAATGTGTCAAAGGTTGGGTGAGCATTCCTATGGAGGCCCAGTAATGAAGAGATACAGTTCAGGCAGAACACTAGTAGCTTGTATTAGTTGACTGACATGAGCTGTTTCATTGCACGTGTGCAGTATGGCTATTATAATTCAACACTTCTTAATATATCTCTGTCGATACTCTAATGCCATTTCTTTTCTTTTTATGTAATTAGCTTTTGGTATTGTTGATATTATCTAAGAGTTAATGTTCATGTATGAGTCGGGTAAGAGGGAAAGAATCCTTGCTTCCCCCTCAAGAGTTCCCTGACAATCTAACTTTATATCAATTTGCTAAAAATGGTTAATTCCCTGATGTCAGTGTCTCTGACTGAACTAATATTAAATGGTGTTCGAAGCCCCTTAGATCTACTTAAATCTACTGCGCACTCTCAGGTGACACCGTTCTCCTGATTCAACCCTGACATATTTAAACTGGTCTTTCTATCCTCACCCAAGCAAAGAGCAGATTCTTGGCTGCTTACCAGGCTTTATATCTAAATTGTATCTGCACAGGCTAAAGTACATTGGCCCTATGGATGTAATATGAAACAATGGACCCCTGGGCAGTGAGCACAGACATATCATATATGGCCCCTGCAAATCCTACACCGGAGCAAGACCCTCAGACTGAAAAAGATTATCTGTAGTCTATAGTCTTTTTGTTTCTCTTTCAGCGACATTATGCAGGTCTCAGGTGCTGCTGTTGGTGCACCTGAACTTCAATATTTAGTTTAACACTGGAGGTGAAGAGAGGCTGCCCACTTGACTTCTGTACAAAAGAAGAGTAAATTACAGAAAGTCATCCAAAAATGTTTTTTACTACTGGTTTTGAAAATAGAAAAAAAATAGACAAATATTTTGCTTGGATTTGGTTGACAGAACAGGCCTGTGCCTGGTGGGCTCATTCCAAGTAATGGCCCAAGCTGGCAGTTTAATTTTAAAATGAATCAAAAAAACAAGAGGATAAAAAATGAAGATTGTAGTAATTAATTTACCTGCTCTTCATTTGGATCCAAATACACATCTGAAATACAAAAAGAAAATAATAGCAGTGATTTGTGTTGTGCTGTCATACAGGCCTCTGGTGGTGAACAGCAGAGTTAACAGTGCAAACACAGCAAACCAGTGTCATCAATTCAGGAAATAAATTAGTTAGTTAGTGTAATCCTGAGGTATCTTTGTATTATTCATTATTCATAACAAAACAAATTCATGTCTAACTAATATCATAAGTTTATTGCAATGTAAAGACAATAATAATAGACAAAACAACACAAAATGAGACAGAACTGGACAATATCAAACACAACAACGCTGCACATTTTGGTAAGTTGTTGTGAACAATTGGGAAAAGCCAGAGAGTGTGAGAACAATCTTCCATTGACAAGTTCCTTGTCTTTTAAATGTTGTAATTTTGGTGCAACGATATAAGTGCTTTGTTGTTCTTGCAGATCATTTTACCATCAGTTTGCTAATGAAGTTGAGTCTCTGAAGCACTGAAGGTGCAACCTAGTGACACTACACTAGGTGGCAGTCTCTTCCTTGTTTCAGTCACAGCTGCAATCTCTGCTCATCTTACACCAACTACTCTGTTCTGCTTGTAGATATTTTTGCTATTAGTGTTATTTAAATATGAATAAAACTCAAGAACTTCTGTCTTTGACCCAGACCGTAGTAGAAGGATATCATCCATGTACCTTCCCCAACATATAATCTTATCTAAATAAGCATTTTGGTCTCCCATAAAGAGATTAAAATAATAACTACTAGCTCCCATCGCTGTTCCCCCTTTTCTGATTATATAATTGATTCTGAAACAAAAAGAAGTTGTTATTCAAAGTCCATTCTGCCAGTTGCAGGATGAAGGCAGCAGGTGGCATCTGTTCTGACTGTCTCTTTTCCAAGTAATGTGACAAAGCCTCTAACCTCTCCTTATGATCAGTGTTTGTATAAAGTGATTCCACATCCATGGTCACTAAAAAGGACGATCCAGTGTTCTTGGAGGTTTTAGAGGCTTTTCATATTACTCATATTACTTGGAAAAGAGACTAGAGCCCCCTGCTGCCTTCATCTTGCAAAGGCTTTTAAATCACTACCCTCTTGAGTGCCTCAGACGTTTTCAACAGTATTTAACTAAATGTGCCATGAGGATTGTTTCCTGGGAAAGATCAATAAGACAGCAGGTCATATTAATAGCACATGACAAATATTTGTTTTAGTATATCTGGTTGCCATATCACCTCATTAAGACATCTACCTTCCTTATAGTCAAAAGTCATTTTCAAGCTGGTGAATTACTTCTATGAAAGAGTTATTTTGTAGTGGTAGAAGTGATTACTGTACCTTCCTCTGTGTTGGGCACAGAGACCGGAGCAGGAGCAGAGCGGACTGGTGGAGGAGGCATCATCTTCTTTCTTCCGGGCTTCTCATTTCTGTCCACCTCAGGTGCTGGGAGATTGAATGTGGTTGTATCACATGGAAGAAATGAGTTAAAGAGATGAAGAGAGGCGGGTTACACACAAAGTAATGAATACAGATAAATGACTCACGTTTCTTGGTGTTGGGGGATTCGTAGTAGAAATCAGCATGTTGTTGAGGTTTCTGAAAGGCAGACATGAGATCATTTATCAAAACAGATCTGAAACACATTTTAAATGTGACAAATGCAGAGATACACAGAAACAGACTTCCAGGACACTGTTGTTACCGAGAATTTGACTGGTCTGGGCGGAGGAGCAGCCTGCCTCTGTGGGACAGCAGGATTAGATGTCCTCTCTGCAGAAAGTAGCACAATTTTAGGTTTAGTTTTATATTGTCAGGAGTATCTTATGCAAAACAGGCCTTTAAACTGTTTGAACACTATCTGCAGTAATCAGTGCTGTTACCCAGGTAAACGTTCTCCTCCACTTGTCTCTGTGGCACTTTCACAGCTGGACGCTCACAGGGAGGCGCTTCATACATGTCACCATCATCATCATCCTGTATAGTGTATCATAGTTTCAGTTAACAAGACTGGAAGCTCTATGTCTGAATTGTATAATAGCAGCATAGCTTTGATTGATAAGTGAGGGAAAGGCCAATAGAAAAAAATATTATGATGATAAAAGATAAAAACAGTAACTCCCTCAGTAAAGCAAAAATAAAAAGTGAAACACTTCATGTCATAAAAATTAGATAAAGATGTTTAATGCTATTATACATCTTTATTAAATGCTACCTCTAAAGGTCCAGTGTTTAACATTTCAGAGGATTTATTGGTAGAAATGTAATATTATATTCATAGGTATGTTTTTATTAGTGTATAATTACCTAAATGTAGGAATGAGACAGTTTACAGAACCCATGTCAGCTAGAAACCACTAAATCTTGTCTAGTCCTTTAATAGCACCTTTAATAATATTTGGATGAAAGCACAGATTCAGGAACTTGTTGTGTTTCTACTTACAAACTCATCCTGTGGCCATCCTGCATTGTCATCTGAAACAGACATTGAAAGATAAAGTCTGTAATCCAGTAAAGAAACAAAGACAGGTTTTAGTTAAAGATGAGGTTAAATCACCTGTTCTTCTGGGAGGAGCTGGAGGTCCACTGTGTCTGACAGAGAGAGGAGAGGTAAAATGCTGGAATACCATTTTATTCCATGAATTACATTTATAGTAAAACTAATGAGGTTTTGCTCATGGCCACAATACTTACAGGTTCTTCAGTTTTCCAAAGAAGCTCTGAAAAACACAGAAACTCAGATACATTTCCACATACTTAACATCAACTGTTGCATGCCTAGTTGGTAATCATTCACTTTTAGTTATCTATCAGCTTCATCTTCAGATGTGATTTAATGGGTGCTTTTTGGGGAAAGTCATCCTAATAATACAATATAGCTTTATTCAGTACACAAGGTGATTTAGTACAGTTAAAAAGTACAAGGTAACACTTTATGTGTACTTTCAATAGCATTTGAAAGAATACAGTAAAACACTGTATAATGTTTAAAGATTTTATTGATGTATTTGATAGATTAATATATAAATATATATAAAAACAGCAAGGGACAACAACATACATACATAGCAGTTACTATTCTGCATGAAGAGTACTCATACTTTTGCTACTTTGAATATATTCTGATCTCTCACTGTAACTTATTCATTCCATGTGTATCTTATTCTCATGAACTGTATCTCTCTGACTTTGGATTGCAGATAATTCACCATCGATGCTGTTTTGAGGCAGAAATGAATTAACAGTATCAGTTAAAACACAGCAAAGTTCATCTGCAGGGATGTGACTGAGGTTGGCAGGAGGAGGCGGAGATAAATACACACGTAAAGCGAAATCAGGAAGTGGAGCAACAGTATCTGTTTTCCCACAGTGCCAGGCAGCCATAGAGGAAGTGTTGATGTAAAGTAAATTATTATAGACGGACAGGAAGAGAGGGAGTTTCTTTCTCACACAAAATGTCAGAAAACAGTTGCTTTTATTAACTTGCTGGTGATAAATGAGGAGCAGGTGATTGTTGAAGGTTGGCTCAAGTTACTGTGACAGTGTTCTGCTTTGTGTTGACTACAGTGTTGAGTGTTACTACCTGCTTTTCTCGGATAAAAAACACCTATAAAGTCTCAGTGGAAAGTGTTGTCAGTGGTCCACAAGGCCAACAGGAGGAAAAAGGAAAAAGTCATGTGACCATTACGTTAAATCTGATGCAAACAAGGAAAAGACTCATTAGCATCATTCAAATGTTTCACTATTCAGACAATAGAAATAGTGTATCTGTGTTCTCACAATTAGTTACATTAGACATTAATAATATGAATTAATATATTATGTGTTAATGTGCTGTAATTTTTAATGTTAATACTTAACAGAAATATTAAGATACTGCTGAATATTAGTTATTACACTAACTCTACAGGCAGGTGACCATACAGGGAACATTTTATCTGCTGGACGAGAGGGAAATTGAACTCACATCATCTCATATCAGATCAGCAAAAAGGGTCACGCGAGACCATAGATCTGTTTTCTTAAAATTATACCAAAACCCCATCTGAGAATACGCCTGTCGTTAGATATCACTTACACAATGTTATTTATGGTGTAAATTTAGCAAATAAGGTAGACAGTGAAAACTATATGAGCAAACACGTTATGACAACAGAATTAAAACTGTACAGAAAGATCTCCACCAATATTAAAAGACAAACTGCTCTTAGAATCAAAGAAACAGAGTCTGTCTGTCTTTTTTGTTATCAAATAAGTTAACTTTTCACTACATGAAATGTTGTAGACTGAACTCCAGCACCGTCTCTGAACAACTTCCAAACTACCGCATGGTCTTGTTTACTGAAAAACAGTCTGAAATGCATTATGGGAAAGTGACAAGCTTAATATGCAGCTCGATGATGCTATATACAAGTAAGTAGAAGTGACACTATTCAGTCTACTGGAAACAAAACAAACGTATCAATGTTTTTGGGGTTTTTAGCTTAATAGATTTAAAATATATTTGAATTTGATATCAAAAGGTTTTAACACTTAATATTCCAGGTAAAAAAAGTACTTAATCAAAATTTTAGACAAAGCTTCAAAGCGGCACATCAAAAACAGCAGCTGTATAAACTGTGATTCAATTTTCTAATTCAAATCTAATAAATTTAACTAAGAAACTGATTATATGGAGGACAAACAAAAGAAAGTTTAACCAACTTGTTTAGCCTTTCAGAGAACTTTATTCTGTAGTAAAGCTTAATACTGTAGGTGTGCAGTATTTACTTTCAGGTAATCTGCAAACACTCGTCTGTGTTCTTTTTACTGTTTGCCTTCACACTCCCCCACAATCACAACTCCAGCAGTGTCGCTGCCTTCATATCTTTGCCCCATTCAGAGCTTTAAAATGCTGAAGTAAAAGTAACAACATGGAGGGTTTACAGAGGACTCTGCAGCGCTAACACTCTGCCGTCGACAACACCTGCTCACTTCCTTCTCACTCCACCCAAAGTTACCAGAATGGAAACCAAAATATGACTAAAATGAAATGGTACTTTACCATTGTCATGATTTGAGGGTCGAGTCTCGCAGCTCAAGTCATGAGGAAATGTCTTTGTTCGGGTTCTTGGATGCAAATGGTTTTGATGATTAAAAGTGAGCGATACAGAGAGAATGTGAAGAGCAGCTCTAACTGATCTCATTTGCATTTCCTACCTGTGTCAGACAGTTTCACCTGCTGCAGGACTGCCTGCCTTTAAATGAGCTAAAGCCACTGCACAGCAAAAAACATGCCTCAGAATTCCCCCACTGCAACCTGCTAATGACCATATAACCAACTGAATTTGACATAATTTGCTGCAACTGGCAAATAACATCTCCTTTGTACTTTATTTGCTAGCAAATGGGGGGATTGATTATTAACTGTTGATACACACACATCCCATTAATGAAGCTAGGCAAGTAAGCTAACTTGTCATTGAGTAGGAAGACAGGAGCCACACACAGAGCTTTCTGTATTTTACACCTTTTAAACTACAAGAAGTGAGCAATAATGATCCTAAAGTGTGTGCTGAGTGCACTTCAAATGAAACAAACTATCTGCTACATACACTCAGCTGCCAGTTTATTAGATACACCTAGCTACAGTTCAACAGCACCACAAACTGCAGCCTCCATAACGACCATACAGTTACATCAACAGCAACATTATAATCTCCATGAAGGTGAGATTTATTGCAGGTCTGTTGTATTAGACTGTATTAGTTTTAGTTAGGTGTACCTTAAAGACTGCCAACTTATTCATTATTGGTGAAAATATTGTACAGTAGGTTGACTTTACTGGCTCCAAGAAATAATTTGCTGTTAGGGGAACTATCACATGATTTGCTACGTAGTTACACACAGGATCATTAGATTTCATTTAATTCAATTTTACATGGGAATTTGTTTGTTGTTATAGTACAACCAGGATGTAAACTGTAATTTATATTTAATTTGAATGCTGTTCTTTACAGTTTACAGTATGAAATGCAGTTTCCTGTTATTTTTATCTGTGGCTTTATTTAATGGTCATTTATTTTCCATGTTTTGGTTGATCAGGATGGGAGCAATATCATTTCCATGTTTTATAGATGAACACATTGAACCTTGACCTTGAATGCCGTTTGTTAAAATGAGTGAAATGCTGTACTGTTTTTCAATTGATAACATTTTATTTTGTAATTTTCACTGTTGAATGAGTAACGGGTACTGGCAAAGGTCCACAAGATAAAGTACATTTCAACAACTCAGTGTTTCATTAGTCATGACCAAGGAATGTGCTCAACGAAACGTAATTTAATTCAGAGGCTGATAAACTGAGCCTTTTTTTACATTAGTGATCCTTCAGCTGTCATGATGTAATGAATTTATCAGTAATTTATTAATGACGATAAAATACCACAATGTCAAAAAGCATGAAACATACAAAAATGTATTCCAAACATTATTTATTGACAAAGGAGTATGTTGCTAGCTGTGGTTATAATTACAGTGACAATAAATTATTAAACTACAATACACACAATCCAAAAGTAGTTTATCAAAAACAATATAAAATACATATAAATATTAACTTAGTACAAAACATGTAAAACCCAACAAAGGAGATAAGCTTTGCAGTCAATAAGCAGTTTAATATAGAACATTTTCAATATAAAATCAATATTCAGACAATATAACTGCTGGGCTCAACCCAGGTGTCTGGAGGAGAAGTGCTCTGGAAATCTGGTTTAAAAAAATAGTGGAGAACAAGTGAGATTATGTTCTTCCTCTATAGTGACGTGTAGAAACAGGACACAGGTTTGTTGAATCGAGTGAGTCTCTCAGAGTTTCCTGCTTCCACCTGTCCAAATCTAATCCCATCTACAAGGCGGCAGCAAGCTAGAACTGCAGAAACAAGCAGAATCTGAACCAGCAGATAGGTTCTGTGTTTTGGGTGCAGGTCTGGAAACCCTCAAGCCCCAAACTAAGCATTAAAACTGTTAAAGCCAATACAACCTGCCATCTTAAAAGACAAGTGTGTAACATAGTCTTTGCACAAAACTTTCAAAAATGCCTACATTCCTATGTGACTTACTGTACTGTGCAAAGTGAATGCTTATGTTGAGTGCTACTGACCTGAAGTCTACCGCTGTGACTTCGTCTATAAACCAGCATAAAGCCAGCCAGAAAGAGCAGAGGAACAAACTGATATTTCCTATTTTCCTGCCTGACCCTCCAGTTTGGCGAATGAAATACTAAGAAAACACATTAAAACTTTGTATAAAAAAATGTTATTAAGATCAAGGTGGCCCAGGAGGAGGAAAAAGAGTTTGTCCTGTGTTTTTGTCCATATATACTGTCACATTCAACACAGTAAGGAAGAGACCATGGAGCTCAACATACATTGAGCATAAAAAACTCATAATTGTGGTCCCTCTTGTGCCTCTCTGTAGGAGTGGTTCGGCTGGTTTAAAACCTCAGTTTGAATTTAGATCAACAGATAAACCCTGAACAGAATCAGAGTCTTCTCTCCGTCTATCTTCTCAATGATAAACACATCTGTTCTACCCACTGTGTTTATGGGTATGGTCATCCAACAATATCTTCTTGGCAGCCTCCCTTACTTTAGACCGGGTTTGCCTTAATCTTGTCATTGATCCAGTTGATGTAATGTGTGACACGAGTGTAGACCCCAGGCTTATCCTTCTGCCCACACCCGTCGCCCCAGCTGATCACACCCATCAGAGTCATCTTGTCATTGTTTCGACAGACGAGTGGGCCACCGGAGTCTCCCTGTGGGCGAAGTCCAAGAAGCAAAATGGAGAGAGGGAAAGAAGAATTAGATTGAGTAATGTCAACAGCATTGATTTAAGGAGGAGGTTAAGTGTTAAGGTCAGGTGTTCTCACCTTGCAGGCATCATCCAGGCCTCGGGTGTCACCAGCACACAGCATGTTAGAGGTAACTGTGCGTCCAGACAGAACATCTGGGACGCAGCGTTCTCTGGGCCAAAGGCGAACATAACCTCTCTTAACACGCTCAGAGAACTGTGCAGAAACTGTGGAGAGAGTGTTTCAATTAGTTCTTCAATCAATTAAAGCTTTTAATGCCCTCTGCTGGTCAGTCAAGTAAGTGTGACCAGCTTGTGTGTGAGATTCACCTTGCGGCAATAGTGGCCATGCAAAATTAGAATGTCATGAATCAGGCAGGACGTTTGCTTACATTCAGTGTCTTTTCCATAACCTGAGATTTCACATTCAGTCCAGTCGGGCAGCACCAACCCACGTTCAGGCAGACACGCAGGAAGAACCTCCGGAGAGTTTATAGCACAGATGCCAATGTCCGTTTTCAGCTTCAAGAGAGCTGCAAGTGGAACGTGACCAGAGGAAAGTCAGGGTAATGCACTGGGGAAATGTGGGATGTAGACTGAGGCAGTTTTAACAAGCCTTTGCAGCCCACTTAAGGTTCCATATCATCACAGCTGGGGGAAAACATGGTTGCCAAGTGTCTCATTTAATTTTCATCATTCACTTTATAGTGTGCTAAAACTTAAAATGCTAGTTTATGAAAATCTGGCATTTTAATGATACAAGTAACACAGTAATACATAATATTATATTTATAAAACTAGACAAACTACATGATTATTGTCTCTTTAAGTGTTCACTCACCGATGTCATTGTCAAATGTTTCGTTGTCAAATTTCTCATGGATCCAGTACTTCTCAACTTTAAAAATCTGCTCGCTGCTGGAATTCTGTTTCCGAAACGTTCTTCCCAAAATGACTTCCAATTTTTCTGCTTTATCACTGAAAAAGATAGGGAATGTGTTTGTATGCTGCAAACATGTTCATTATTGTATTTTCTGTGCATGTGTGAAGGATGTCAGTCATTCTTACTTGTCCTCAAAGCAGTGTGCAGCAGACAGGACCCAACAGGAGTCAATGAGGACTCCTCCACAGCGGTGAAAGTGTTTCCTGAGACGGGATTGGTAAACATTAATGGCTGCCTGCCACGGCTGCTCTGTGATGTCGCTCTCTCTGCCCCCAAACATGCGGAACGCCGGTCGATTCAAGGTGTTGTCTTGACGCTGCCCACATGTTGCTACAGAGAGGTTGCCGGATGATGGTTAAATGACAGTAAAATTACAACACTCTAAACACATCAGAGGTGATATGTTCTGGGTGATTTTTATTGGATGTGAAGATGTCCTACCTCTGTTGTTGTTAGTGGTGGGGGCACGTGGGCCAGAAGTGGTGATGATAGATGGACGTCTCGCTAGAAAAGAGGAGACAAGTTTGGGTGGAAGATTTATTTCATACACTTCTAACAGGTAGCTGACTTCTTGACTTCATTAAACCATGATAGTGAGGGGACTCACAGCATTTAGGTATGTCACACAGCTCCCAGGTCAGCAGCATGTTTTTATAGGTGTGACACCATGGACCGTCATCACCGTCTGGATTCCTATTAGATAAACGAAGAGGAAATGCAATGAAAACCTGAGTTGTTATTATCTTTCTCCATGTAAGGAGAACCTCTCATGTGTTATCATAATGTTTGTGTTGGTGTCTCTACCTGCAGAAGTTGTGGCTGCCCAGCCCCTGCTCCAGTGCATCAGATCTCCAGGCATTGTTGAGCTTGTGCTTCAAAGCAGGGGAGTCCCACGGGAGACAGCGAGAGCCACTCTTGGTGACAGATGCTGTGCCTCTGTATGACTGACCAGAGCCCTGCATACATTCCTGGTACTTATCTGCTCCAAAAACACACAGCAAAACCAAGTGTTAAAGCAATTAATTGTTTTATTATTAGTCTTTTAGCTTATTAGCTTTTTTGAAAAGCCATACCTTGAGGACACTTAGGCAAGGAACAGAACTCCCAGACGATCTGAGTGCCTTTATAGATGTAACACCAAGGAAGGCTGTCATCGTCGGGGTTCCTGAAGGGGAAAAGAAAGGCAAGCGCAGTGAGTTCAGTTCAGTTTTTTCCTGCCAAGTCACTAATTCACTTGTCATTCCAGATCCTATAACCATTTTGTGTCCTGGTATATAAGCCTATTTCCACCTACTCTTGGCCAGATAGTCTATTGAGTCATAGTACTTGAGAATTTTAGGCTGTTTCTAGTCCGTGTTTGTTAATACTCTTTCGACTCTGTCTGCCTTTTTGACCTGTAAACTTTGCTTTTAATTTTCCTGCGCTGTCTGTGAGTCATACTTTTGGCAAACTGAGCTGTTACAAAGAAGGTGGATTAGTTTATGCCTTTCAATATAAGACGTTCTCACTTTCAGCCACAACCAGATCAATCAGTTAATTTAATCAAATGCCAGAATACAGTGTCAAGTGCATAATTCCTGCAGAGTTAATCAAAAAAATGTGACCAGGTGGATGTTCAGACACCTTCCTTGATTTAACTGAATATTTGCAGTTTATTCCTACAGATGCCCCGACACTAAATAGATTAGACTGCTTACATACCTGCAGAAGTTGTGATTGCCCAGTCCAAGACTGCTGGCGTCCACTTTTCTAGCCGTGAACTTCTTTCCTCTCAGAGATGTAGAATTCCAGTTGATGCACTCTGCTCCTGATTTGCTGATACTCCATGTGCCGCGGTACCCTTCACCCTGCCCCACTGCACACTTCTCATTGGTGTCTGTTGGAGAAAGAGACCATGTTAAACTGCATATAGTGTCATTTTTATTTCAGACTGATATCACTCTAATTCTGTCACCATGAAGCATTTTTATTGGATCTGGAAAAACTTCCAGCCATTCCAAAATATTTGGACAAATTATGGAAACATTGTTATTTCTTATACAAGACATTAAACTCTCAACTTGTGTCCTAATGGCATTTATATAGCAGTTTTCCAATTAGTGGTTTAAAACAATGACCAAACATAAACTATGATTATTGTAAATGCAATCAGATTTATTGAGTCTGGCCATTGTAACTCATTACTCTCTCGCTGAAATCACTTGGCTGTCACCATTGGGGTTTGCATAATTATCCCACTGAGAGGGTGGGGTGTCCCTAAAGCCTCAGAAAGCTGCCCACAGAAACAAAAACATTCATATCCCAGAATGTCTTTCCATGGTTTATGATCCTTTCTTCTTCCGTCCAAACCACAGGCTCATGACACCTACTGCATGAGTCACACGGTCAGACTGTGACTTTATCTAAAGTCATTAAGAAGTTCGTAGAATGTTTTAATAAGTGTTGTGTCACCAGCCACCCTGTCGTGGACATTACTGGGTTTGTTGTTAATAAAAAAATATGCAAATCCAAATACTAGACATAGTGGAATATCCAGGGTATATCTGTTCCAGCACAGAGGACTAAATAAGAGATAAAAGTATAGCTGAAAAGTCAATTAATTAATTAGTTGATCAACCAAAAATGCAACTATTCTCTGGTTCCCAATTCTTCATTGTGAGGATCTGTTGTTTTTTCTCTGTTTTATATAATTGTTAACTGAATCTTTGGGGTTTTGGACTGTTAGTCTGACAAAATGTGTCTTTTTGGACACTGGGAAATTATAATGTTAATATTTCTTTACATTTTACAGAGAAATTAATCAAGAAAAAAGCTGTGAGGTTAATTGAATAATTAATAGTTGATTGAGTTTTTGAGTACTTACTGATTTCACAGTGAGTCCCACTGAAGCCTGGGGGACACTGACAAATGTAGTCAGAAGTGTACACAGCCTCTTTACAGGTTCCTCCGTTATAGCACTGAGACACGTAGCAGTCTGGAAGGGGCAGACAGAGAGCCAGTTAGTCAGTCATACGTCATCCAGTTCTTCAGAAACAATCAGAATACGATTGATTGGCCATGACCACTTACGTATACGGAGCATTCAGTTTGTGGGTTTGGCTTTGTGTGTGTGTCACATTTGACGTAGAAACATACAGTATCATGCAAAGGTCCGTGTGCCTGTTTCATTCTGACTCTCTGATCCTGGCAAACTTCTTCATAGCTTCACTTTTAAAATTACATGTCACGCCAAGAGTTTCTGTCAAGAGCAGAACTGGTTTTATGCCATCACCAGTCCGGTTTTTCATTTATTATTTCAACATTTCCTAAAGGCTAGCGCTCAGAATAACAGAACCCCACTCGCTCCCAGTGGTATGAGCTCCCAGATGGTGCTGTTTGACTGAAAAATGTGGTTGTAATTTGTCTGAGGGAGGGGCAGTCAAGCTTCACAGGATTCGCCAGTGGGGGTGAAAGTGCGCACGAGGGCTTGTCTGGCAGGAGTATTTCAAACAATCTCAGACTAAACTATGCCCACCAGAAACCCAACAGCTCTTCATTTAGATGCACTGAAATAACACAGATTTTGGACTCATGAGCGAGGCAAGCCAACAAAAAATAATCATCTGAGGTTGTAACAGCAAGTTAGAGGTAAAATGAAGTTATAGGGAAGGACAGAGAGGTCAGTAAGGGCAGGCAAACAGGTTGACAGACAGATTAGCAAGCAGAAGATTATATTCTGCTCATTGCCAAACAAAAAAGTCTGATTAGAAAGAGACAAGAAAGTAAGACAAGTCAGCCAATCCACATGTGTTTGTGTGTGTATGCATCCATGTCACACTCACTGATGACGGGCACAAAATGACAACGTTCTCGTCCTCTTAATGCACAATGGCAATACTCCACACGCTGTCCCCTCCATCGCAGCCAAGTGTCCCCAAAACTACGCACAGCTGACGTCTCACTATCCACACATTGTACTGAGAAAACACATACACACACACACAAACAATAAGTATACAGGCAAGATGCACAAAAAAAACTTTAAACATTGTCACATGTACAAGGGGTTAAAAACATTAAGGTACAACAGCAGAGAAGACAAACACATAAATGACAACAGTGAATTTAAAGAATGTGATAATGACGATAGTGATAGTGATGGTGATGATGATGATGGTGGTGTTATTAGAAAAGACAAACAGAAGTGTGATGGGGCTCACGGGAAGTGTCAAAGGAAGGTGAAGACTTCTGGACATGAACAATCAAAAGCGTCCGTCTAGCTGGCTGCCTGTCAGGCTCACCTCTGTAAAAACGAGTCCCTCTCTTAGTGCGGAGCAGCTCCACCTGCAATGGAAGACGATGCATTAAACACAGAGCAGCACTGCATGGGAATTGGTTGCATGGCATTGGTTTTCTACCCAGGCAGCCAGTGCTTTTATTTAATTTCTTGAGGATACTGTGAAAATAAACTTGCAGAGACTTGAAACTTGCTTCACATGCAGTTCATCCCGGTCAACATTTAGTGGCCTTTAAGTTTTAGTCAAACATTAATTGTTTTCACAAACATAGTGCTCCAATACACATGATGTGAGAGTTTGCTATCATTATTAGTGAGTTTATGAGGTATATTGTTTTGAAATCTAATGGTTAAAATGAAAATTAATGAATATTTCTTCAGTTAAAAGATAAATGAAGTAGCTTTATTGCATGTAAAATGTTGCTGTACAGCAGTTGACACTTAAGTCTTGTGTGTTGAAGCACCATAATGCTCAAAGCACACAAATTCAAAAATATTAAACAAACTGTTTGCGCAGACAGATTATAAACCACAAAAAACGTGACAAGGATGTTGTACTTACATTGTCCGCTAGGCAGCAGCAGAGAGCAGACAGGAGCATTAGTACTCCACGTGTTGTGGTCATGGCTACTCAAGTTGTCTTCAACTCAAGTGGTCTGAAAGTAGAACATAAATGCTTATTAAAAACAACTCAAAGACTTTACAAGCTAATACAGTTTAGACGGACACTTATGCTGAGCACTGATACCTCGAGATGCTGTGTGTGGTAAAAACAAAAGACTAACTAACTTACAATAAGTACCATTGGATTTGCATAGATCCATAACTATTTTATAAGATATTATTAAGAATGTATAACAATGTTTTAAACAAAATAGTATTAAAATACAAATTTGGATTCAAAATAATTATTTTTAGTGACTTTTAGTGACAGACCATGGATTTGATTGTTGTATGTCTATCCGTGTAAATCTTTTGTCATGAATCTGTCATTAATGCTGAGCCAACAATTGCAGGAAACCGATCAACATGGATCGACCTTCTCCTGACTATACTGTGTCTCTGGTCAGCTTCCTTCCTCAATCCCTACGCCTGCTGCTGAGGGAGACCACTGGAGAGGAAAGGGTGGGTACGGTGGGGGGCTTGTGGGAAACCAGAGGTCATTTCAAGTTTCTTGAAGTTGTGTTGACTCAGACAGGAAGAATTAACAGCCTGTGTAGGACAGTCTGATAACAATTTTGTGCTATATATGTCTTTACGGTCCTACTTAAATTCATTTCCCCTTTATCACAATTCCTCTACAACTTCCCCACTGGGAATAAACAGGAGGCAGATTATCTTCACTTCATACGAAAAATAGACGCTGACCACCACATCAAACAACACAATCTGGACAATCCTGGAGCGATTAAAGGCAGCGTGCACAGCAGAAAGTTTCTGCACCATACTGACAGCATTCCTTCTCTAAACAGCAGCTGTAGGATGATAAAGTGACGGAGGACTTTAATGGGAAAGAGGAGGAAACAGAAGGGAAAGCCCAGAGCAAGAAAAAGTAACTAAACTTATATTTCCCTTTTTATACTTCTAGAAAAACAACAACTTGTTCCTCCTTTCTGTTTTAAAGCAGTCATCATGCAGAGAAAATGTATAGAGAAGAGTGCTCATTGCTCCTCATTGAAGTGAAGTAAACATGAGTCACAAAATGAAGGAGGGGTGAGTGGATGAAGGAGTAGAAAGGAAAATGGGAAGTAGGAAAGAGAATAAAAATAAAGTTAATAAGGGTTGAAAATGAAAAATTACCTCAACATAAAGAACTTCCAAGCTGCTTTAAAAATAACCGTAACAAACTTCTTCTACAGACACAAAGCACCCAGACATACAGAATAATCATGTGCATACATGCCTGCACAGTTTCATATACTCCTCTCTGTCGGCTGGTTCTCCACTGACTCATCTTCTGTGGTTGACTGAGCTAATAAAAAACAGCACTGTGTTTTGATATATCAGTGAGGTAAAACAGCTACGCTGGCAACCACACACATACACACCAACATACTCTGTCTCACACATACACAAAGTGTTCAGGAACGTGGAGCTAATCAACACTCCTACACACAAAGATTTACTATTCGTTCGCCTCATTGTCCATTGGCCCAAAGACTCCATCTCAGGATTTGACTTTTAAAGCACATACAGATGCATTCACACTCACCATATAGTGAACATGTCCCTTGAAAGCTATCCTTGTCTCAAACAGATAAAAACCCAGTTGACCCGTTTTTACCCCCCAACTGAGCCTCACTAGCAGGGTGACAACAAAACACTAGTTTCCTTTTTGTTTCCTTTGTGCAGCTGTTCAGCTCCGTTCGCTCACCCCAGCCCTGTCAGCTGAAAACATGTGTTTCCTGCTAAAATACAGCCAATGCGGGGCCCCATGCATTTCGGAAACGTGCGTACATATCAACACATGCACACACATGCACACATGCCAACACGCACACATCAGATATGAACATATGTGCATCCCACCCATTTTTAAAAGTCTGTGGTATCTGACATGCAGAGGCCCTGTTTGGGTGCCATCAATGCAGCTCCTTTGACAATCCTTTGAGTTTTAGCTGTGTTTGTGGTCTGTCTTATAACATTTAATGCATTTGAACAGACATAAACACACAAAATAAACATGTGCATGCCAAAGTCAAAGTAAAGTTGCGGCTGCTCTTTTAGTTTTATGTACCGTGGACTTACTTGGACACTCTGACCAAAAACTGTTGAGTTGAATCTCATAATCTTTTATTAGCTTTGACAGTAACATTTTCTTTTTCAGCTATTTGAAAAAGACGAAATATTTGATGTGAATTTAGGTTCACCTGGAGAATTTCTGCTGCAAAATGCATTTTATCAGAACTCTGAAGGTGTCAAATTTAATAAGTATCTGTGATATCTATGTGATTTTTTGGTATAACTGGCAGCAAATATGGGCTTACAACAACCAAACAACCACAAACATTTACTAAAAAAATACCTTTAATTCAGGTTTAAGTCAAACCCCATCACTAACCCTTCTGACTGCACAAGGGTCAAAGGTCAAAACTTTGAATGTAAATAGTTTACAAGAGCATCATAACCAATAAACTACAAACTTACAAAGCGAGCGGGACACCAGCGTCCCTCTGGCACTGATAGGGTTAAGGCATTTGTCTGTTACACCCAATCAGTTAATAGTTGAAACATGTACGACCAAGTATGCAGCCTGAGGAGAGCGTGGTTCCCCTAGTAGGTCAAATATGAATGGAAGAAATTAAAACATCTCTGGAGCAGCAGCAGCAGACAGACTGTGAGTCAGCAGCAGCTTCATGAGAGCAGTTTCAAAGATGCACCACTTCAGTCGGGCAAACGCATGCAACAGATGATAACACAAACATAAAAAGTCTCTCACACACAGAGTTTATGTCCAAACTAAAAGTTAATGTTTTCCACCAACGTTATTCATTCATCCTTTTTGTGTGCAACGGGAGTATATTTAAAGTAACAGGTCTTGAGTGCCGACCACAATCTTTGACATCTTTGCAATGAGTTCACCGGACCATTAGCAAGGATGTGTAATGATGATGGTGCACTGAGGTTGTAAAGGTTGGAGGTGAGACGTTCTTGTCTTCCAGTAACAAGGCCGAAAAGTCAAAGTCCAAAACGATGAGAATGCTTAGACGGCATGCAGGGGACATAGTTGCACCTGCCCGTGAGGTTGAAAGTTACGGTTCACTTTAAAGCATCGCCAAGGTCATTTTTCCTGTCTGTCCTCTATGCAAATGTCAAAACTGACACTTAATGAAGAACTTAGAGTGGGTGGACTTTACAGCGAGCATTGCAGCACTTTTATAGCCAAATTTTCTTTGGCACTGAAGCTTCTTAACATTTCTTAGAGAGCACTTGTTGGATTGAACTGTAAACACTATTCCCATTCTCTTGTCACAGCATGTTGGCATTGTCAGTTTCCGGTTACCTTGCAACATGTTTTTTAACTGGTTTGACCTGCTGGGATCCTACCTTTACAATAACTTCAGTTGAGGCATTGTTCCCTCAGTTAAGAGGTTTGCATGTGCGTAGTATGTTTTCTGATGATGTTTTATGGCATGCAATCTCATTTCGGTAAGCTACTTAGCCGGCATTATGCATTCTTAACTCAGGGGTTTTCAGTCAAGCTTCAATAAACCAGCTGTGATGCAGCTCTGTAAAGTCCCCGAGAACAAAGGGCTGTATTGTTGCCTTACAGCTTCCCTCTGTGCAGGGGGGCCTTGAATTCCATATCAGAAAGAAACACAAGCTTATCGAGCCAAAAGAAGCGAGAAGAAAGAGCAGGTGTTGACATTAGAAATTAGTATAAACCTGAGGAGATGATGGAACATGAGACAGCTGCGTGGAAAAACATGAAAGTATGGAAAGAAAGGAGAGAAAGGAGAGAAAGGGAAGAAGGGCAAAAATAGCAAGAGGAGGGAGATGAAATCAAATCCGAGAGGTCAGCACAAAGACAGTGAGTAGTCCTGAGTCATCCCAGCTCCCAGGACTGCACGAGACATATGGAGAGAGACACAGATGGAGGCATTCATAGGATTTACAACCAACATCAAGGCCATTAGATGAAGACACAATCAACAAATGTAGTCAGATAGGAAGAGTAGAGATGTGAAAGAGGGTTTTTGTCCAGATTCAAATGAAAGCTGCAGTATTGAATTACTGACTCTCGAGGGATTTAGCGCCATCCTCATTGTTCCCACAGTCTTATCCAGCACTACCCTCTATGTCTGACCTACTCTTAACTTACAGCTTTAAGACCAGACCCACTGTGAGTCACAAACATCAGGCACAAACACAACTGACCACACTGTCGAGAATGCAGATAATGGATACAAACTCTACTTTCTCTCAACATGCAACAGAACAGAGCGTCAGAGTGATGGAGAGTAACAGCGCTGACGTATTCCAGCTCAGACGGAAATCCACCTCATTAGCCTGATAAGAGTCTGCATGTCAGTGATCCTGTGCAGGTTTCGGCTCAGGGTGGTACACTGATACACACATGCATTCTGAGAGAAAACACTGTATCATAGCAGGGATGTTGATAACAAACATACAGCGAGTCCAGCAGTGAAGCACAATATCACCACGTTCTTGTAACATTTGTAACATTGAGATTTGTATGTGCTACAAATATTTGACGTGAGCAAATTACTGATTTTCTGAGAAAGGTTTAAGGGATGAAGAGTGAGTGTGTGATGCTGTGAAGGAATTTGTACAGTTGTGAGTGTATTCTCAACAGATTGAACAGGTGGATGTGAATGGAGAGTGTAAATAATGAGTGTTGAGTTTTGGGATACCAAATGAATGAGCAAGCAGTTTTAGCTCCCCACACTGTTAACGTAAAACCAGACAAATTACTATCACCACAATCACAATAATTACTACATTGTCCTTATTAACTGTGTGTGTCACCTTGGATTAATTGTTAATTACACTGAACTGCAGGTTACTATACAGTGTGGAAACACTAATGTTTAAAGGCATATTCCGTACTGTATTTATGATTAAATTTCACAAGAGATGTTTACTTAATTTTTAAATTATTATGAATTAGATAAGATGTGTGTCAAGACTACTCCATATTGTTATCTAATCATATAAGATTCAATTGTAGGACTTACAATACGATACAATAATATTGAATATTACCCAGCCATACTAATTGCTCTAATCAACTTAAACTGGTTGAAATATCTTAATTAACTTTCATCAGATGCAATCAAATGTATCAGATTATCAGATCCATTTCCCCCTTGACACATTAAATATCAAGCATGCAAAATGTTAAATCAGTATCATTAATAAAGCCTAACCTAGGAACTCTACAACCTTTAGACAATAATTCAGAATGAACCACAATAAAAGCTATGATCCGAAAACAACCCCATGCATTAATATAAATAGATGTAAAGCACGACCGCATCTGAGTAAAACAAAAAAACAAAACTCTTACCAAATTGAAAATTTTCTTCTCAAGAGGAGGACTAGTCTGAGTGTCCCTGGGATCTGTTGCTCGGACTGAGCTGGTTACTCCGCTCCCGGTTTTTATCGGTGCGCTCGGCTGCTGCCGGTGAGTGCAGGGGGCGGGCTGCTGTGACCTCAGCGGGGAAGCGAGGCTGGCCGGCCGGACGATGATGCAGCCTGCTGGGCGGTGCTTGATAGGACCTATCCGAATATTTCATTATATCTAAATTTATGTATTATCTATTTGAATATGAATAAAATATTGTTAACAAGAGATTATTTGGGACAACAAACTTTTGTGTGAGGCATAATAATGATTGTCATAAATATGATTATGATAAGATAGATCAACTTTACTGATCTTTATTGAGTAAAAAAAGTGTCAAGCAGCAATAGCAATAGAAGAGAAATGCATGTTAGAGATTAGGGAAGTAACCTCATAAAACTGTACTATTACATTATGATAATCTGCTGTATACAGTATAATGCACTATATGTAGCCTCTACACCAAAAATACAATAAAAAGTACCTGCAATCAGTGTATTATATTGTCATTTGGAGGTGATTTGCTTCAGTCAATGTGTCAAAACTATTATTAAACTAATGTGAAATTTAAAGTAAGTATGGAGGGGCATAAAAACTAGCATATTTTTGATTTTACACTACACTCAGTGATCTCTGGCAGTCTGTGATGGGCTGTGGGAGACTGTATCAGTACCGTTAACCAGGAGTCACAACCACTATCCCCTTATTCCACCCATCCGTCCTCAGGAAATCAGTCACTTAGCCTCAAGAATAGCTCCATCTTTTCTTAGTACCAACAGTAATTTTATTAGCATTGGATAATTCATGTTCATTGTTTTTACTGTCTGTTAACTCCGCGCAAAATAGCTGAGAACATGGTACTCGAGGATGTATTGGGCGGGGGTAGTTAGCTTGGCGTCTGTCCTCTTTGTTTCCATCTGTGTTAGATTAGAACGCACTCCCACTGCTTGATGAGGAAAATCACACATAAACACACACACACACACACACACACACACACACACACACATACGTTGAAAGCACATGTATAAAATCAAGTTCCCCCAACACAGCCAGGAGTCTTATCTCTTTGAGTAATGCTCTATTGCTTTACTACAATACATGCAATTGATCATTTACTACATGCCCCCTCCCTTGTGTTGAGTAATGAAGAAAGTATTCTACTGTCCTTAATTTGACTGCCCATTATTTACATTATGCAAGGAATGGTGATGAGAGGCATTTGTAAATGCTGTGGAAGAATTGCAGAAACTAGACAAACCACTGCTTTAAACATTTATTGTTTGCTGTCTTAATGTGTGGGTGAATGTTTTCCTTAGACTAAGATTCTCTAACTCCATAAACAGAGTATCATGTGCCACGTATAATGAAGAAGAATCTGTCTTGGTGAAGTTTGAGCGGAGACACAACGCAGAGTTTTCTATCTTATATGACAACAGAGCCTCTGATGCAGTGAAACTGAGGCTATATCACATTTTAAATCAAATCAATTTACCAGTATAGCCACACACTGTATGTAAAACAAATTCTAAAAATTACAAAGCAATAATTTTAATCTATAAACATGTTTTTCCCTTACTATGCAAGTAGGTTAACAGCTTTTGGCGAGCTAAAAACACTTCCAATAAATAACTGGCCTTCAGAGTTTTTACCAGAAGCATCTGTGAAAAATAATGAAAATATGAAAATAATATAGACCTATTAACAAGAAAACTGTCAAATGAATTACATTGTCCCTCTGGAAGTAGGTCAATGTTTAGTCCCCATGGCATTGGAAGTACTAGACAGAGAGTTAAAGTAAAAAGAGTAAACACAAAACAATCTAAAGCAGTAGTTCAAAATTTTGGGATATTTGGCAAAATGTCAGGCAGCTAGTTTAAATGGCTAGCTTGGTTAGCAGTTTGCAGGAAAACTTAACTGACAAGTCACAAATCAATCAAGTCTGTAACAATGTCCGTTAACTGAGGAGCTGTAGTGACGGTTGCTACAAGCAACAACATGTTCAACTGAAGCTAACTGCTGAAAAGGTATTGAAACCAATGGACGTTGTGGGAAGTAAACACTTGTGTAATAATATGTAATTGAGGACAACATTTAAGACATTTCCACGGACAAGGTTTACATGACTAAACAAAGCTAAATAAGACAACAAAAGTCTTTCATTATAAATTCCATTTATTCTGGACTGCCATGAAGCCATTGTGCACTGTCCTAACTAGAAAAGACTGAGAAGCAGCACCATATTTTGTTAGTGTAAACAGGAAAGACCTTTTTTTCTCACAAACATTTCCAACAGTTCCTGTTAAAATACCAGATAAAGTGCATCTTCTTATACACCCACACAGATCACGTCAGAGAAACGTCAGTCTGTTTGTTGTCTTACCTGAACTTACATATTCAATCCAGGAATAGAGGGTGATGAAACGAAAACATCACGACTTTACTCTGGAAATTCTGAAGTGATCCTCTCCAAATACAACTTGACTGGCTTGGCCGGTCAAGTTAGACAATGTTAAATACTGAAATTGATATTTGATTTTAGTAAAGACACACAGCTGAAATAAGACTAAAAAGTGAGTGTTTGACTCTCTTTTTAAAGACTGAACTTAAAATCTTGTGTCATTGCTGTTCAGTTTTACCAGGTATTTTAACCTCCATGAAACTGATCTCAACCTCCAAGGAAACGCAGCTGATTAGAGCTGGTACACTGGAACAGTGATAGCAAAGCATTTGAGACGCAGCTGTGTGAATTCAATTCAGTTCTACAAAAACAAGATCCACCTTGGAAAAACATAAGAAATTCTTTCCCTCTACAACAAAAGATGAGTAATTTAAGAGAGAAACGTGAAGTAATACTTACAGTAAGACAAGGTGTCAAGTCATGGGAGCAGAAGGTGGTTTGGTAAGTTGATCCAACCATTAGCGAGAAGTTGTAAAACTGAGCATAAGTTATCTCCGTTCCCAAAATAGTGGCAGCCATAGGCTCCATGAAAACCCCATTTTTAAACTAAGAGATTTAAACTAATCCTTATAATGCCTATGGGACCCACTGAAGCAAAGAGACCGTCCCTGAGGGACCCATGAACCACATTTAGGCACCACTGGGCTACAACACACAAATACGGCAACACAGGGATACAACATAAAGATTATCCTGATGCTGTGAATATATTTAATTAGCAACGATGCATTCTTCACTTGTACAGCACAATAATCACAACACCTCTTTTTGTCATGTAGCTCATAAACATTTTTGTAAGGTCTAATAACTGACAGGTTATGTGCAGCTCTTACCCAGAGTTTATTATTGGCACCATAGAAGAAGTACTCAGATCTTTTGTTTAAGTAAAAGTAGCTTACTAGTATTAGCATCAAAATATACAGAAAATATAGAATATATATACAAGTACAAGTCATTATGCAGAATGGCCTATTTCAGAACAATGTATTTTACATTTCTTGAATTACAATTATTAATGAATTAATATGTAGATTAATGGTGTCTTATCTTAATAATATCCATAATAAAAGATCATAATGTATTTTGTATTTTTATTACTAATCTAAATCTGCAAAGTAACTCGTAACTAAAGTTATAAAATAAATGTAGTGCAGTAAAAAGTACAAT